ATGGTATCATTATGGTTGAGGTCGCTTTTGAGGCATTTTTTTAGATTTAGACTACAGATTGGCTTATAAATGTTTGAAAACCATTCACTGTTTCCTAGAGAGAAAACCTGGCTCCTATTCTTTGCTTTACAGCTAACCTGTTATGTGGCCTTGGACAAGCCACTTAGTCTCACATCCCCATCTATATATATATTGGAGGTGGGTGGATTGGACCAGGGATTCTTAACATTTTGGGAGGTTCACTTGCCCCTCTTACCAGTCTTACACTTACCAGTCTCTCAGACAAAAAGCAGAAATTTTTCTAACAATGTCAAGGGGTTCCCTTTAACGCCCTCCCCACCGCCTTGCCCCCAAATTCTGGGCTAAGAACCACTGGCTTCCGTGAGCTTAGATTTCCTTTCTGAGATTGTGACTCTAGTACACGTATCTGAGTGACTTGCCTGCAGGGTGGGCAGCCTTAGGAAGCCCTCTGGGTGGAGTTTGGGATATCATGATTTCAGTTAAAGTGCCCAGTGAGGCCGATCAGACTTGGCACTAGCCAGCATCATGATTGGAGAGCCAGGCAGGTAATATAAAATAAAATAAAGAGAAGCAGGCTGGACTATGGGACATCATGGTACAAACGTCATCAATGCCTGTGGGCATTCAACCCAGGGGAACTGGGCAGTGCAAAGGGGGGGATGCTGTGGGAAGGCAAGGGGACCCTGCCCAGTTTAGAAAGGGCAGTCGCCTTTCAGCTCCAGCCAATTCCTACCATGGGGGAAATGGGAGCTCAGAGGCACCAGCTATTTTTCTTTTTTTAAGATTTTATTTATTTATTTGACACAGAGATCACAAGTAGGCAGAGAGGCAGCCAGAGAGAGAAAGGAGGAAGCAGGCTTCCTGCTGAGCAGAGAGCCCAACGTGGGGCCTGACCCCAGGACCCTGAGATCATGACCTGAGCTGAAGGCAGAGGCTTTAACCCACTGAGCCACCCAGGCACCCCCAGCACCAGCTATTTTTATTTTCCAAGAGACGTTGTATATCTGGGTTTGGAAACCTCTTATTTTTTAAATTAGTTTTTGAAAACACTGGACCAACATTCTGTGATTTCCTGCCTCCATGGTCCAGGCTGCTGGCATAAGATGGCATAAGATGGATAAACTGAGGCTCAGTTATCTATAACTAAATTCCTGTATTCCCTGCCATCCCATGTGAGCCCCGTTTTCATCTCTGATAGTAGTAACAGCATTCATTGGGGTTGTGCACAGCCAGTATCTCATCCACCAACTGTTATTAGAAGGGCAAGCATTCTCCCAAGGTCATGTGAACTAGTGAAGATGACAGAACAGGTGCCTGAGCACTAGGGACCGTAAGGCTCAGTGCTCTTCTCACCACATCACCCTAAGAGGGGGCCTGTGGAAGTGCCAATCACTACTAGGAGAGCTCCAAGGCTGTGCCCACTCTGGGCACTAGCCCTGCCTGGATAGATACTAGTTCTCTAATCAGATTAGGCCTGGCATCTCCAAGAGCTTTAGTAATCCAGGACTAGCTGGAGCATTGTCCGGAAATCAATCAAGCAGTAACCTGGGGATTTGAGAGGAGTACTGTTTCTAAACTGGGGACCCCCTACCCTTGCCACCATCCATTTCTGACCTGACTGCTTTAGCTCCCTCATCTGTGCCCACTCCTTCTACTCCAGAACTGGCACAAAGAACATGACTTTGCCCCTAGACATCCAAAGAGGATAGCCTAAGCCCTTCACCCCATGTAGGCATCTACTCCCTTGCAGCTACTGCCCCACTCACCCACAAAGCCAGCAGAACACATTTGTGAATTGTAAGGGGCAACTTACATGTTTCTCTCTTCCGTATAAGATTCTTGTCCCTGGCCACCACAGCCCAAATAATTCCATTGTTGGGGGAAACTGGTCCTCTTTTGATGGCACAAGGAATCAGGAAGGCTGGCCAGAAGCAATGTTGGGAGGGTTCTTGTAATGTCATGTGGTAATGGAGGATCCCTCCTGAGGTCAGTTTGGAGATGTGGCCTCAAAATTTAAATGCGGTGCTGTGGTGAGGTGGTTAGACCAGGATTCAAATCTCTTGTCAATTAGTCTATGTAATCTTGGTTAAAGATCACCTACTCTGCCAACTTGTACAGAAGCACAAGTGTAAGGAAAACTTTCTGGGAACACAGGAAAATATCCAGTGGGAGGTGATACTTGGGTTGGGTTTGGAAGTTAAAGTAAGACCTTATTATGCAGTACACAGGCTCTCCACTTACCAGCTGTGTAGACTTGGGCCAATGACTTAACCTCTCTGAGCCTCAGTTTTCTCATCTGTGAGACTGATTATATCACCCTAACTTGACTGTTCTCAAGACTGTAGATGATAACACAGCATCTTTGCTCAGAAGCAGTAGCTTTTGTACTGATTTCATAAGGCCACTAGATTCTTGTTACCCTGTTGAAAGCTTACCAGAAGACGGTGGGTATTCTAACTACTGATCTCAATTAGCGTGTCATCTGGAGTTCCATTATCCTGCTTTGTGGATGGTACATTTTTCTACTCAGAGTTGCCATTCCCTGGGAGGGGAGCCAGTCAGAAGTCTACCTAAGTCTCTTCACGTACAGGAAGGCAGGAAGGAAAAGAGGCCAGACCCAAGGGAGGAGAAGGTGGAAAGGAAGAGAACAGGGAGGGTTCCAAACCTTTCAACAGTTTAATGTAGGTGTCAGCATAGGAAGCGTCTTCTAATGACAGAAGGAAACGAAGGAGTTTGTCAATCATCTCCTGCTTAACAGATACAGATGTATTCCTAATTATCCTTTGCCTCAGGCCTTGAGGCCCAGGTGGGCTCCAGAAGGCCTGTGTTCCTGCCAGACGAAAGTCCTTAAGGAACATCATGTAGACAATTGGAATGCCATTTATCGTGCAAAACACAATAAAACCCTGAGCTCTCTTCCTGTCTCAGAGACCCATAAATTATGAAAATAATACCTGCCCCAGGCCATGGACATATTGTTTTATTAAAGTTCCGATGAATAAACTTCAGGCTCTTAAAAATGTCCTCTCGGCTTTCATCTGGCACACACCTTCGGCATGGAGCTGTCGGTCTGCCTGGGTTCATTTGATTACCTCACAAAGGTACTTTGGAAAGCAGAGCTCATTTCAAGTTGTGCATTCAGCAGGCTGGAGGGGATGGCCAGGGAGCTGCAGGGGTGCCTTGGGGCTTCCTGGCCTTACAGCAGAGTTGTGTGTAGGTGGGGGGATATCTTGGTTTTTGCCCCCAGACCGGGGAGACCAACGCCCTCTTTTGTGGAATGAGCACCAGGCTTATAGTGTCTCTTAGAGGAGTATCTGGTTATCAGAATGCAGAGGGTGGAAATTCTGCTTCTTCCTCCTTATTTTAAAATTCAGTCACTGGGGAGCCTTTTTATTCATCTTCTGCTTCTAACAAATTGAGCTATTAAGACTTCAACTCCAGTTTTCCCCATCCACCCCAACCACATCTTTGGCATGTGTTCGGAGCCTGTGTCTATACCTCTAAGGCAGCTAACAGGTAGTGTCTGCTGTGTACTTGTCAATTTCCTGGCAAAAGAAAGCATTCTATTCAGCAACTGCTAACCATTATTACCCAAGGCCATTTTGTAACTGGGAACTGAGGGGAGAAAGGACCAGTCAGGGAAGGAAAGTTAAGGGAGGCAAATGTGGAGCTTTTTCTCTGGACAGCTAGTTTGTTTGTTTGTTTGTTTGTTTGTTTATTTATTTTTAAAAACTAGTGCATGTTTATTCAAACAGCACTTGGATTACTGAGATTATAAGCACTCAGCACCCTGCATAGATTTTTGTTATTTTTAATCTCTGAATATAAGACAGTGTAAAACCAGGCATCAGGAAGTCCAAGGCTGAATCAAAGCCTGATACACAGCAATGGATAGTGAAGGGATTAAAACGAAAAGCATCAGCTGTGTGACACTTACCTTGTCAGCACAGGAAGACTTTGGAGCACAGATTACTCTTCATCCATTTGAGAACAGGACAGGGCACTTGGTCTGGCCAAGGAGGTAGAGCAGACGGGACCACACTGAGGACAAACATCCTTTGTGCCCTCTTTGGCATTGATGGTGGGGTGGGTGTCCTTGGAATGGGTTTATCTATCTCAAGAGGAACCTGAGGTTTTAACCAAGAATTGGAAGACGCCAGAAATTTATGACTCCAGATGAAATCAGAACTGGACCCTAGGCTCCTTATCTTCCTCCCCTCCATGCCCCCCTTGCCCATCATTGTTGCTTGTTTGCCCGTGCTTAATGGCAACAGAAAAAAAAAAAAAAAGATGAATCACTCAATTGCTTTTCTTTCAGAAAACAAGAGGCAGGTGTTCACATGTTCAAAATAAAGTTCTCCCAGGTACATAAAGTGAGAATTGGCCAGATCTCTACCAGTTTTTTTTCCAGGGGACAGGGTGTGGGCAGAAGAAACACACAGAAGGTACATTAGAAGGGCAAAGGCAATGCATTAAATGGATGGGAGACTTCCTAAGTCAAAGGAACTGCTTTTGTACAATATCCACCAATCTGGTGAAAATAAGGAAACCACCAAAGGCTTTTGCTTGCCTTCTGAAAGCATTGTATATATCCGTGTGCACTGAAATCTGCTTTGGGGGCACCAGGGCTTATGAAAGGAGGGAACTGCACTATTTTTTAAATGGTTTCCTACTGTTTCCCATCTCCTCTGCCTCCCTGTGTGATTGGTTACAGATACACTCCTGTGTAGGGGAGGAAGATGGAGCAGCACCTGGCAGAATTCAGGTAGGTAAAAAGTGAAGCTTTCCTGCAGGGGTTGTCCTAGAAGTAGAACAAGGGACTGTTGTGGCACAAGGAGCCCCCCCACTCCCGCTCCTTTTCCTGCCAGAGCTGGGGTACAGATTTCCACTTGTTGAGTGTTCTTTGACAAATTAAGAGTTGTGCTGGGTGAGGATATTGGGGGTATGAACACAAACACACAAGAAATGGCAGTCCTGTGTATATTTAACAATATATATTTATATATATTTTCTAGATCAGTACATTCAGTTTTTAACTTGCTTTTTTCTTCACAAACAGAAGAACTCTTACAATAGTAGACTTTCTAAAATAAATACTATTAAAATAGAGCTTCAAAATAAATATTCTATACAAAGGAAACCTTCTGTGGTAATTTTTGTTGTAGGGTGAGAAGGAGCTACAGTGAAGAGGGAACGTGAAATAGGAAGGTAGTGGGGTGGGAACCTTGAACAGCTTTTCTGTTTGTAACACAAAACCAAACTGTGGGGCAGTGAGAAGAGAAAGCAAGATAGGACACCACACAGTTACCCACAGCAAAAATGGCAGCACAAGATTTGTCATCAACTGTCACAGTAAGCAGAGGGCATGGAAATGCTTACCGAAGGCATGAACCAGAAGGCCAGTGAAGCTTGGGAGATGCCCTAGTGAATTGTACAGTGCAAAGTCATGCTGCCCAGATTCCATCAGCCATCTCCTGGGGCAGCGGGGGACACTATGAAGTTTCGAAGTGACAGAAACTGGGTGTCTGCTCCTGACCAATACCTTCCATGTTGTGCAAACTTCAGCCACTCATTAGCTAACTGGGCCCCACTCGATGTTCACTGGGGATCCACGCAGACTCCACAATGCTGGAAGAACTAGATGTTGTCACATGAAGGTCTTCCACTTCTGCTGGCTGCGAAGGGGCCCATACCAGCAGCGGAGATTGGTCTTTACCTCCTTCCAGCCAGGGACTGTGAAAAGCCTTGGTTGCACCCCAACATCTGTCCAGAAGGTCTTGGCTATCCTAGAGTCAGTTCTCAGGGTGCTTCTTGGAGTGTTGGGCCTTCATAAACAGCCATGTCTTACTAGGACATGTGTCCTGGACCCAGGCTTGTGGACCCTACCCCCAATTCCACGCAGGCCAACCACTAACCCCAGGTTGAACAGAAGTGGGAACCAGCTGGCTCTTTTTAGAAAAGGTTCAGATGAGGCATAATCCAGCCAAGCAAGCCATTGCTGATGGAACACAATCAGCCAGAAGCACCCAGAGAAATGTGTCGTGATTCTGAGAGTTTTGTCCCTAGTGGCCCTTGACCGGCCCCCAGGGCCCATGGGCAAGCCAGTTTTGTTTTGTTTTGTTTTGCCAAGAAGCTGAGAAAAACATGCTGAGGACTTGCCCTGCAACAGAGCTGGGAGAACCAAAGCTGCTTCACCGCTTCCCTTTACCACTGAGCACAGGGGACACCGGGAGCTCGGCACACATCCATCTAGCAGGTTAAATGCAAACCAAAAATAACAAGGCAAAACAGAGGGAAGAAAAAAAAAGAAAACCCAAACTAGAAAAATCCATGCTTACAACTATGTACACAAAAAGTCAGGGTTCATCAGGGGTCAGGAGGCTGTTTGTTCAGAAACAGGGTCTGTGTAGATAGAGGGTTGGTGGAGTAGGGGTGTGTGGGGGTGTGTGTGTTTGTGTGTGTACACAGCTTATGTAAATCAATTCTCCACAGAATGGGTGTGTAGAACACCAAGATCACTGAAGTGCAACTTGCAGTGGGTCAAGTTTCCCATGGAGACATTTGAGAGGGGCTCTGGGAAAAGTTCTCAGGCCTTGCCAAGAGTGGACGTGTGCCCTTCCCTTTGGGGGGTAACCTCTGCTCACATATTCTGAGGAAAACATCTCCAGTCCCTTTAGTACACATCTGATACATTCAATTAGTTTTAAGTGGTTGGCTGAATGTGTTTTTCCTACCATTCCCTCCTATTTGTGCAAGAACATCCATACATCCATCACGACTATGGTAAGGGTGGCTATGTGAATCAGCCTTAGAAAACATAGACGCAATATTTCATACTTTTTACAAGCTAGCAAATGTTATATAAATAAAGCCTAAAATAATATGACCCTCCCCTCCTTTCCTCCAATCAATAAATACCTACGGTTATGATTAACTTATTCTAAATCATAAGATATTACAACTAGTCTTCAAGAAGGAAAAAAAAAGTCCTTGAGAAGCACTGGGTGCATGCCAATCACAGCTACCTGCCTCCTTGCCTCCTTCCTGGAGGTGGTTCTCTCTTACAGAACAAACTGGAAATGCTACAAAATGTCTGTCTGCTGCACTTCTGGTTTCACCTGGGGTAGCTTTTCTGACCCAGGCCATGTCCTCTCATGGGGGTGGGACAACACACAGAATATCACACGAAGCAAAAACCCCTGCACAACAGCTGGGGGAGAGGGAGGACCACACACAATATAGCTTTTGCATGCAACAAGTACCTACCCACTGGACGTGCTGCACTTCCAGTCCTTTAGCACCTTGAGAGAGTGAGTTGCTATGTCTTTGGGGACTGTTGGGAGGGGGTAGTGTGGCCACACAGGGAAGCAGGGCTCAATCCCAAGAAGCCCCTGGAGAATCCCCAGCCCCCTTGTTCTTACTCCTCAGCCAGGGCCTCCTAACACTAAAATAGACTTTTTTTTTTTTTCATCATCTGTCTATTTACATTAAAGATACAGACACATCACTGTACACAAAAGGCTATGACAGCAAGCAGCAGAATCACAAGAGAAGGAGCCCACACCCAGCTCGGCTCTACTGTCACTCTGCCAATGGGAGGTGCTGCCTCTCTTCTTTGCTCTTAAAATCCTCTTCTTGGTGGGAAGGGGGATTGTGTTCCTTGAGGTTGCTCGTCCCCCAGATTTTGAAATCAGCCCTTCCTGGGGGTAGCCCAAAAGGAAGCAAGTGTTTCATTATTATTATTATTTTTTAAACACCATTACAGCATCTGGTTTAATTGTTCTAAAAAAACGTAATGACTGGATCCAGAGACCACAGCCTCAGACTCATTGGCAAAATTATATTTGGTCTCGCATGTGCCGCCCCGGCCTTCTCTACCCATAAAAATTTCTGGAAAGGATCTGGGCAGAGAGAACTCGGGACTCATAGTGGCAGGTGAGTCTGTGACTCGGTAAGAACCGGAGGATGGTGTTATGAGCAAACACCCCTGACAGTTAGTGATGAAGCTGGAAGGGAGAAATGCGCTCTGTAGTGGCTCCTAAAATCCATCTGCGGCTCTAGGGAGGCAGAGTAGGGAATGAGCCTCTGCTCTTAAGGGGGTCCCAAGTATATACAACAGGGATTGCCAGGGTCTTCACCTTCCCCAGGGTGTTGGGGGCAACCTGGGGTTGGCAGGGAGAGAAGTACGGACATCAGGGTTCCAAGCGTCTTCTTCAGAGGTCCTGGTCACTCAGTTAATGATTCCTCCCCAGCAGCGAGAGAATGGAAGAGTGGGGAGAGAGGGGGGAGGGACTGGGAAGGCATTCAAGCAGCTGCAACTTCCGGATATGTGTCCACATCTGTGTTCTGTCTTCTGAAAAGGAACCCTCCCCAACCCCCACCACACCACACCCCTGCCACTGTCTGTCTGCCAGAGTTCCAGGACCCTAAAAAAAAAAAAAAAAAACAACAACCAAAAGAACGAAAAACAAAAACCCAAAGTGCTTCTTCATCCTTTCGGGAAAGAGAGGGTGGGCAGTGGTGTCTCCATATCTTCAGAAGCTGAGGGTGGGGAGTGGGCAGACCAGCAAGGTCAGCCTCAGGACACTAAAGCCTCTGGCCTCGTTGTGGTCTTCTCAGGTGTCAGAAGGGAACCAGGTTTTCAGGGGCAGTGCGGGGGCTTCGACCAGAAGCGTCAGAAGGGCTTGTCGGGTCTGTTGGCCTTGGCGTCCCCCGTGGCTGCCTTGCAGATGACGCTGTTCGTATGCTTGCAGCGGCAACCAGGGCGGCGCAGGCGGTCGTAGCCGCGCTGGGCCAGCTTCACGCAGCCGGTGGCGGGCAGGTAGCAGAGCAGGCACGGCAGCACCAGGGAGAGGGCCCCCATGAAGGACCAGCGGGCGCAGCAGTTGGAGCGGGAGCAGGAGCAGGGGTGGTCGGCACAGGAGCCCTCATCGTCCTCGTTGGTGCAGTGGTAGAAGACGCCTTGCACCAGGCACATGCAGGTGCCGTAGTTGACCAGGGTCTGGGCGGAGCACAGGCATTCCTGGTTGCAGACCCAGCAGGAGGGCAGTGTCCGCGGGGATGCACACTCCTTGCACTTACACTTCCCACAGGCCTCGCATAGCAAGAAATGCTTGTCCAGTTCGGGGGGCACTGCCAGGCCCTTGAGGTCCAGTGGTTTGCAGTGGACCACCTTGGGCTGGATGCGCACTGCCCTTGGGGAAGCCTGATCAGCCACAGGCGGTGGTGCCATGTGGTCTAAGAGTCGCTGGTCAGAGGACGTGCTGCTGCTGCTGCTCACGGAGCTGGGGCGCCCACTGAAGGAGATCCAGTGGTGGGTGACATCCTGGTCACAGCGGGCAGGCGTCGGGGCCAACTCTGGGGGCCCACCCCGGGTCCGCTTAGGGCCAATAGGGGGCACCAGTCCAGGATTGTCTATGTAGTCATTCTCCACATGGCTGGTCTTCATTTGGTCGATGGGGAGGATGGTGAGTGGGTGTTGGAGGCGGTTGTGGGGCATACGGCTGTCAAGTAGGGGCTGGACCATGACTGAGCTGGGAGTCAAGGGGACGCTCTGTGGGATCGGGGGCTCCATTGGGCTGGAGGTCCTGGACTGTGCAGAGGAACAAGCTTCTAGGGGCCCTGGGTAGGGGGAGGTGGGGAAAAGGAAGAGAGAGTGGATTCCAGGCATCAGTACTTGGCCTGTTAACACACCCACCCCCACCCCTTAAGGTCCTCGGGAGTACAAATGAAATGGGAACTGGATTCTCAGTGGATTCTCCAGCACTGAGGCTTAAGATGATTAATAATAACAATAGTGAGTGATGGATGCAACACTTACTCAGCACTTAATGAGCCATACACTCTGGTAAGCTCCATGTATGTGTCATTGACTCTTCACTACTACTAGCCCTTCTGTAGTTACAGAAAACGAGTGTTCAAAATAACCTGTCCAAAGGCACACAGAATTATCAACAGAACTCAGCAGGAGTTCAAACCTAGCCCAACCAAACCCATTCTTTCAACGGCTGCGAAATATGCCCTATTTTTAAGTTTAGGTAGCCCAGTGGTTGTAAATGCAGGCTCTGGAATCAGATCCAAGTTTGAATTCTACCCCCCCTCCCTAGCAATGTTGCTGTAAGTAAGGTTCGGTCACCTTTATGCCTTAGTTTTTTCATCTCTAAAATGGGTTCTTGTGAGAATTAAATGAGAAAATGCTATCCACTACCTAGCGTCTTGCCTGCCAGTAATGTATCACTATTCTAGAGAGCATCAGCTTAGATTTCCTGAACACCCAAAGGACTGTGTGCCAGGCATTGTGCTGAAGATGTAGTGACCATGACAGATAGCCCCTGTGAGCTCCCATGGAGTGTATCAGCTAGATAAACAAAAGACTTTATTTCACATAGTCACAGGAGAAGGAAGGGCTGTATGTGATGCCTCTACATCCAGGACATTAACTTATAACCACCGCTTCTAAGAGCAGCAACCTCCAGTGGCTAATAACCTCTGGCTAGGTGCACTTCTGACAACTTGGATGGGAAATCCTCTCGAGGGGCACTCACATCACCCATTTCCAAGTGCTGAGCTGAACATTCAGCCTAAATGCTATTTACTAGAATAGCTAAGCCAACTCTGGATCAGTTTCTAATTTCACCGAGAGAGTGCAATTTTAAGTTGGAATCGCGCCAGAGATTCAACTGCAGTGCCTGACACGGAACCCCAGGAAGTCACTTAAATCAAAGAGCGGAAACGACTTGGTTCAAATTTAGAAAGTGCACATTGTTTTCTATTAGAAGTGCCATTTCCTCGCCTGCTGACCTTTACATTCGGAATTCGGCTGGAGATCAATTTAAAGAAATAGCAGCAGAAGGCCAAGACCTCTGCCCAAGGGGACACAATTTGGAATCCAAGAGAAAGATTAGACTCTGGGAAGAGTCCACTAGTGGGTGGGGGTGTGAGACAGAACAAGATGCGGATAGAAGGGAAAGATAATGGTATTGAAAAAAGAACAGACCACTGAATTAATGTTACCGGGCAGAGTTGGATGAATGCCTTTTCATGATACTAATGATGTTCTCATTAGGGGAACAGCCCCTGCATCTCTGCTGTCAGGTACATGTGGCCTCAGAGTAATGCTAAGAGTTGGGGGTGGGGGTGGGGGCGTTGATAGGTTTCCATTTCTAGTTAACCCCTTGACCCTCCAGACTGGGTACATAGTTGGCCTATCCCAGTACTCCAGTCATAGGGGAATGATACCCTGCCCCAGGTGACTCATCCATACTTATCAATGTCTACATTGAGGAATGAGTGGCGGGTGGAAAAAGCATTCAGAGCAACTCAATTTTATACCCCCTAACTTGGAAATGGTATTTGATCAAATATGGTGAAATTGTTGGGGAAAGGGCTTCTCCACTTGCTTTCTGACCTGTCTAAAAGAGCTTTTGATGAAAAGTTCATGAAGGGGAGAAAAGGAAACTTTATCCACAAGGTTCTCATCCTGTGTTCTCCTCTCATCAAGTTTTCCATAAGGCTCAGTGCTCAGTCAGCTGCTATTTCCCATTTGCATAGGGCATGTATTATTGGCTTTGCTCCCATGGCTCTACCTACTTAAAAGATGCTAGGACTTCTGTGCAGTTTTTCTCACGTGGGAGAAAGTCTGCCTAATGGCAACACCTGCCTCCTGTCTCCACATTCCCTCCAGAAGCAAGGAGAGCATCATCTTAAAATGGGAGACTTGCCTGCAGCAGAGTTACTAGCCTTAAGTGTCTGGCACTTCCGCCACCAATAATGATCATTTACCAAGGCAGCCTCCTATAGGGATCCTGTGGATGGGGGTGATGTCAAATATCCATCTACAGAGAGGAGTTTTTCCAAGGATCCAGGATACAGTGGGGCAGAACTTTAGGGAATGCTACCTTAGCCCACTTACTCTTTTGCAGGGGCTCCAAAGCCTTGCTCTTCTGCAAATGGGATTAGGGTCAACAGACGAGCGTTAGGAACCCCAGGTCCCCACCATGGGGACTTTACCTGGAGGAAAACATGTGACTGGGCACAAGAAAGGAAAATGTTGGTGGAGGCATAGGATGAGACTCTCAGGTGCCAGCCAAAAGGTGCCTCAGCCTGAACCCCCAACCCGGACAAAGACAGTGTGGTTCCCTTATTCCAGAAGCTTGGGTCATGAATGCTCAGGGTCTTGCCAACAAAACTGCCAGTGGCAGTTTGAAGGCCATTTTGCCCCATGTAGTTGGGGTTTTGTCTCTTAGAACTAGGATTGGGACTTGCCATGCTGGAAAAATAAGGGGAAAGAAGAAAATTACACACTCTTCTTCCCCCAGTTCTATTCTTGGGATTCTTAAAAACAGCCATATTTTCTTATGGCAGTGCTCAACGATTTTAATAGGCTCTGGAATCAGAAGGCACATTAATAGAAAAGTCCCACCAGGATGCCAGGGTGGGCGCAGTGCCTGTGGGCAATGGGATGTTGGCTGTCAACATCTGGGCTTGCTGTTGGGGCCAGACATGGGGGTGGGCGCTTGGTCCATGATGACTCAGCTCTCTTGGGACATGCAACATACAAGATGGCTCCAGCAGGCATATTCCAAAATGCATCTTCCCTATCATAACCCTGATGTCGGATTCCTTCCAGCCACTAGCTCAGCAAAAACCAGAGGCTGGCTCACAGTTGCAGTGCTCAAAACCCTCCCCCAGCCCTATTGCCTTACCTCCCCATTAGCATGGACTTCCACTACTTCCCAAGCAGCCTGTTTGATAACCCCTCAGCAAGGCTAAATGAAGCCTCAAAAAAACAAAAAACAAAAACAAAAAAAAAACCCAACCCTCAGTTGGTTTACAAGATCAAACTCTATTCACTGGGACACACCCAGCCTCTAGCCTAAGCAATGCTGAGGAACTTAAGTGCAGTTTAATATGTACTCTCTGCTTCCCCTGCAAGGAAGGAAGAGATTTATAATATAAATAGAGGAGAGAGGAGGCTTTGCCTCATTTAGGCTCTTTGGAATACTGATGGTCAATTTGGAAGACTGTGGACGGAGAAACAAAGCCAGCACTCCACTTAGTTAGAGAAGCACCTCTATGGAGTTTTTAGGTGGCATTATTACGGATTAGCATGAGGAAAGGAAACTTTTGCCTCCACTCCCAACTTCTCATACTAAGTAATAATAATTGTGGAAGGAGCTAATATTTATGAAACCTATCTTCGAGTCAGGCTTCTGTGCTAAGCCACCAGTGATTTTCTTATTTAATCCTTACACCATCACTTTGGAGAATAACACCCATTCTGCAAGGAAGAAATGAAGAACAAAGGGTCATAATGCTAGTAATGTTAGTAAGTTATTGGGGCACCATTTGAATCTAGACAGCAAAGGCTCCAGGGCCTGCTGCCTCAACCCCACAGCCCTGACTTACAGTAACATCTGGGTATTCATGTAAAGGCAGGAAAGCACTGATCACTTTCACAACCATGGACTCTCCTAGTCTCCCCAGTCTGCCACCAGCCCTCAGGGAGCCTCATCAGGCCATTCACGGGGCTCTTAACCAAACCAGCAGGGAAATGAAGCAGGCAGACAGGGGTGTTACATCAGACTGGCCCCCTGTGAAAGGGAATTCTCACTGTGCTGTTGGGGGCGGGGGGGGGGTGAAATCTGTCATTACAGGAAGGCCCAGAGTTCAAGTTTCCAATTCAGTTTTCTTTACCATCCCTTCTGTCACCTCATACACCACTGCTTCACTAAGCGTGTTCGTTTTAGTTTTTTCTCAAGTGTCACTTGTAGGATTTCATCACAAAGCAGAGTCTAAAAGGAAGCCCTGGCATGGGAAGGAATTCCCTCTCCCCTCTCCTACAAAGCTGAACTTACGGATCCCTAGGACACATTCTCAGATGGGGCTTTCTGTTCCAGGTCTGTGGGGAAGAGAGGGAGGGGTCTGAGTAAGAGGAAGCCAGAAGCCGGTCCTAGAATACTGAATCAGCAGAATATTGCAAAGCACAGAGCACACAGTCCTGTCTTTGCCACTTGGCAGCCTGTGACATATGTACCTGTGGGATGGGCTGAGCGTCAGGATGCAGAGGCAGGCTGGCTGAAAAGAATCAAGGTCCATAAAAGAATTAAAGGTCCATGCCACCCAGCCACCCCTTCCCCTTGACTTCCCCTGGGAAGAGGAGTTGGGAAATACTGACAGCTGTGCTTTCAAAACTATAGGTCAGCACATGACAGACTGGCAAGAGGCTCTGAATGAATGGGCCATTTCTGTACTGCTCCATTCAGTCTAGGCAGGTCTTCCCAGCGAAGGTGGTTTAACCCTGCCTCAGTTCAGAAGAAAAGGCCTCTAGGCTGCCGGGAATCCCACCCAGCACTGCCGCTTGGTTCTTTGTGACAGCATCACAGTTTAGTTAATTAAATTCCAACCAAATAATGACTTATTGCTTCACAAAGACCTTAAAAGGTGTTGGGGGGAGTGGAGAGGAAAACCAAGGACCAGCCTTCCCTATACCCCACTGAGGAAGACCATCTCTGCATCTCTGAGATGCAGAGAACAGCCCCTGTGGGAGAACAAAGCATTGGCACAGCTGGATTTGTCTGAGAATCCTTGCAGCGGCTCCCCGACCCCTCTCCAGCACCAGCGTTAAGGAGCTCACTAAGGAGCTCACCTCTGGCCATAATCGTTAGTTAGAGATCACAAAAGAAAACAGCTGCTTTTCATCCTTTTGTCCCACTACCAGCTAGCAGTTCCCAACCCTCCCTCTTCCACAACCAGTCAGTTGAGCACGCCAAAGTCCCAGCACAAGGATTAGTGGAGGGTGGGGGGATGGGGTTTGTCTTGCTGGGCTTGCTCTGGGCTATTCTAACTGGCTTTAAATGTTGGTTTCATTGATTATCTGCTCAGATCCCCTTAAAGAGATACTAGAAGTCAAGGGAGAGAAAAGAATGGGGCTAGAAGAACTCCCGGCCCATATCAAAGTTTGGAGGGGAACAGAAACCTAGACCCCAAGGGAGGCCCACCTCTCACTGACAACAAGACAATTTATCTTACTACCCTCCACCAGAGATTTCTAAGAAAAGATTCTAATAATAGATTCCTGATAACAGATTTTAGTTTCCTCCTGGGATGGGGCAGGAGATGACTCCCCACTTCTCCCAACCAGAAAAAGACTACTGGAAAAGGGAAACCACTCTCTGCAAATGGCCACCTGCCCCAGAAGGGCCTCTTCCCTTCTCCACTAGATCCAGCACATCTGTGCTCCCTCCCCAGTGCCCTTGCTTCCTCCACTGACTGTCCTTGGAAAGAACAATCATGATCACAGCTGAATGGTGTAGCCTCTTAAACCCAACCACATGTCCCGGATACATCCCCAGCCTTGTCAGCTGTCCGGATCTGCAGGGTGGCCCCAGACCCCTGAGAGCCAAAAATACCCCGCCTCTAACTTCATGCAACACTCCACACCTTTTGTGTAAGAAGTGGTTCCCTTACAACCAGCTCCTCGGATGTGCCCAGCACAGCCCACTACTACAGCCCCCTTGGGAAGTTTCTTCCCTCCGTCCCTCCCTGACTGTACAGATGGAAAGACTAAAGCTTAGCAGGTTTCTTAGCTATTCACCTTCTCTGACCTGGCCCCTAGCTTGGTCTGAAAGGAGTAATACAGTTTTCTGTATGCTGCTCTTTATCCCCTTCTTCCTCTGGCTCTTTTGAAAGACCAAAAATATATTCCAATGGGTCACTGCTTTTCCTTCTATCCAGGAGATCCAGGTTTGCCATGAGATGGAACCTTTCCACTTTTGCCATTCCCTTTCCTTAAGAATGCTTTTGTATCTACATCCCAAATCCAAATTTTTCAGCTGTATCCCTAAATCCAGTTTTGTGTAAAACTCCTGTAAGTTTTCCTCACAAGGGAACTTCCAGCTCCATAGCAGCAAGGTGACAGGCACTTTGGAGTCACAACCAGATTAAATGCCTTAACTCTCTAAGAACACTCAACTTCTGACTAAAGAAAAGGAGCTCCTTTCCAAACCTCCCTGGTACAAAATCTGGGTCCTACCCAAGAGGATGGCCTGAGTAAAGAAAAATGCTTGGAGGGGGGGCCCCCACACTTGGGGCTAGAAGATGTCACACCCAAGGGGTTAGCATCAGGAATTGGATGCAAAGTCCCAAAGTATTCTCAAGGGCCACTTCTGAAGGTGTTAATGGGTGTTTTATCCTCCCTTTATTTTAAAATCACTTACTTTCAAATTTTGCTTTGAAAGGCTGCCTTCATTTGTTATTCAAGTCAGCCAGACCTCTGGGTTTACCAGAGTGGGAGTGGGGGATGGGGATGTAGATGTTGGAATGGGTAAAGAATATGCTGGACAGAGGGTGGAATACCAAAGAGCCTCATCTCTCTACCTTTTCTGTAAGCTCCAAATGATCTCCGGCCCCCAGTTTCTGTCCTGCTTAGCCAGGAATCATTCTAGGCTATGTGTTCTGTCTCCTCCCACCAAGCCTAACCAAAGCTTTAAGGAAATGTTGTCATTTCAAAATGATGGTAATACAAAAAACGTCGTGGGAATGAGGATTTCCACTCCACAAAAAGGGGAATGACTCCTGGGTTCAGAATCTAAAAAAGGAAAATTAAGAGATGAAAGTCTTCCTCACCCTAACTGATCACAATTTGTCCATCATGGAGATTTTGGAAATATGCCATCAAAATGCCTCCCACCAGGTACTGGCCAAATGCAGCATCTCAGTTGGTCACTGTGTGCACTGCTCACATTAATGGATTTGCCTGAAGCCTGCTGGCAAGTGAGGTCGCTCCCAAGGGCTGGCAAAGAGAGGAAACTAGATTTCACTACTGGACAAGTCTAAGTCTTTCCAGCCCCTCTCTTGAAACAGAGCTAAAGGGGTCAACTGCAGTCTTTCCTTTCCTAGTCCACCCCACACCCACAGACTAAAGGAAATAAAAAACTGAACAATTCAGATGTTTTATGCTCCATTCATGTGAAGATCCAGAGAACTCTAAACATTGTGAAATCACCAGTGCAATATCGGGTAGGGCCACAGGCCAGACTGAGTTTATTAAGAGATTGATAAGGCCGTTATTTCCTAAATGCTCTAGGCCTTCACCTTCCAGCTTTGTATCACCGAGAGGCTCGTCAAAAAGACTGGAGAGCCTTGGTCAGCTAACTAGAAAGGCATGCACTTGCTCCTGCCCCTCCCCAAACTGGAGAGAATCACGCCACTGATTCAGAGGCAGAAAAGTGAGGTTTCCCACTGGATCTGGGCACCCCACTGAACCCACATCTTTTCCTTCGGCGCTAACCGTGCCTGGGGGTTCCTAGAGAATCAGTGTGCCAGAACGCAGCCTCCTGCCCTCACCCAGCCTTGGCAATATGGACGCCCATCCAGCAGCTGGTGAATGAGGCAGCCAGCAGCTCTCCCCTCTAATCACCACCATCCAGCCCCTCCAGCCCAGTTTGCTTCTCCGTCCATAACTCAGCCATCGAGCCATGCAATCATTTTCACCTCTCTTGCCTTCTCTGCCCACAACCCCCAGCCCCAAAGAGAATTGAGAAATCGTCTTCTTGCACAAGAACAGCTACTGTCTAAATGCTTTTTGATCGTCTGCATGGAGGGGGAACTGGGCACAGCCCTGGCCCCAGTGATGAAGCCAAGCTCCAGCTGCCCTGGCTGCCCAAACCCGCCTTTTCCCCCCTTCCCTGCCCCTGTGGCCTTGGAGATTCAGAATTTTCAGAACGTACCGTCTCTATCTTTCTTCTGGGTGATGTCAAGCCTGGTACCACCAAGAAGGAGGGAAAGCGGGAACCTTATCTCTACTACGCATGCAACCTCTTTCTCCAGCTCCCACACGCCCAGCGTTATGTAAACGCACCTTCAGCCCCCACCACAGCCCCAGCGCGTCCCGGCCCCGGGGCCCGGCACAGCTTGGTGCCCGGAGAAGGGAGGCAAGAGGAGGCCGAGGGGCCTCTGCCCCTGCAGAGGCCGGGAAAGGGAAAGGAAACTGCAAGGCAGTTCCACAGCATAAAATGCAGCAGCAGAGCAAAGGTCAGACGGCTAAGAACCGCCTCGCCAAAGAGAGAGAGCAGAAATGTCCAGTCCCGGGCCACCTACGTGCTGACCATCGAGGAGGAGACAGAAGGGTAGAAAACCCAGTCTGTCACGGTTCCGAAGGGAAGAGAAAAACCTACGTCGAGCATAGGCCGCTGCAGTGGGCTGGGGAGATCCGGGCAGAGCTGGCACCGTGGGCACGGAGCCCGGGGTGGGCAAGCCGCCCAGGGCAAGAGCGCCCGCCGGACCCAAGAGGTGGCTCCTGACCGAGCCCAGAGCCTCCCATTCCAACGTTCGAGGCGGGTGGTGGCAGGAGGAAAGAAACCAGGCCAGTCGCAAACTCCCGGGACACGCACGGGGCTTCCTGAGTCGCAGAGTGGGGAAGCCGGGCTTGGCAGTGCCCCGGGGTCGGAAACTCTGGTACCAGGCTGTGAACACCCCCGGCTCTGTGCCGGCCCGGCCGAGGGCGTCAGGGAGCTGCGGCAGACCGCAGCGGCTCGAGGAGGCTCAGGGAGAGAGGGAAGAACACTGAGGCGCGCCTAGAAATAGCGCACCATTTGCCCCAGCCGGAGGGGGAGTCGTATTGCGACTCAGAGGGGGCACTTTCGGATCCCGAAACCGGCTAGGGACTTACTTTGAGGAGCCGAAGAACCACAAGCATTGCTCCACGCTTGTGTAAATCCCCGAACCCGGGCGGGTCAGACGCCGCTGTTCACGCAGACGTCGGCGGGAGAAACCGATAGGACTCCTTGCGCACCGCAGCGCCAGCTCCGCGCTGTCAGCTCCTCTCGCTGCCTCCGCGGCGGTGTTGCAACCACTGCCTGGGAAAATGGCTTTTTTATGAATGGGAGGGAAGGGAGCTCCAGTGCGCACGCGCTCCGTTCGCGATTCTATGAATGGGTGGGCACAAGAGACCCCGCACGCGCATGCGCCGCGCTCCTTTTTTTATGAATGGGGGGCCGGAAAAGAACTTAACCCCTGATTGCTGGGGCTGACTGTAGCTCCTCCAGAGGCCGTCGTTCTTTTACAAAAAGGGGTGGAGGTTGTTGTTGCCTTTTTTTTTTTTTTTTTCAATGAATGGAGGGCGGCGGCGACTGCTGCAGCTGGCTCAGCTGCGCGGGCTGTACCCCCTCCCAGCCTGCGAGAGGAGGTAAAGGCCACCTTCATGCCACTGCGGGCCTGGGCAGGAACCGTCAGTGTCGTTGGGGGTTGGGGGGCACTGTGGCCTTTGAATCCTGGGCCGAGTGCTGGGTGGGGAGGACTCACCTAGATCTAGGGATCTCGATCCGCCGCAGGGGTGGGGGGCGGAGGTGGGAGACGGGAAGACCCCTGCAGGGGGCCTTATCTTTCTATAGCCTAGGGGTGTTGGAGGGAGGGGTCGTGAAGCCGCGCTTACCAAAAATTAAGAAAATGTTAAATGTCCATAGCAAGGAAGGGCTTTGTGGGGGTTGCTTGAATGAATCTGATTCTTCCCTTGAGTAAGTAGAGACCACCCACCCCCACTTCACCATTTCTTGGGTGTGGACAGCGACAGGGCCGAGGCCTCGTCCCTATCCAGTACCCCCCGCCCCCAGGCCAACGCTGGTTACTCAGCTAGAGGCCAGGCTCAAGCCTCTCAGTGCCGAGTCCTACCCCCCACCCCCGTCATATCCCACTGTAATATTCTCAGTGCCTTTGCGCCTGCCGGCCTCAGGCTGCCCTGACTAGCTCCCCTCTCCATCCCTTAGCGTTTCCCAACTCTCACGGGACGCTGGCCGGAGGAGCCACAGTCCAGCGAAGGCCACGCCCCTTTGGTGCAGTGGGAGTCTATCCCCATTGACCCCCATCAGCTAGCTACCCTCGGGGGGAAGCGGGAACAGCCCAGAATTAGCCAGGTGGATGGGTGGAGCCGCCGAGCAGAGGATGCTGCTGGAGTAGCCATAGGATTAAATAACAACAGGGATCTTGAGCCGCGGAGGAAATAGGAACCGCCAAGGATCCTTTCTTTGCAGTTAATGATGCTGTGTGGGGTGGGGGCTATCGCATCAGCCCTGGCTGTTGAAAAGAAAAGCCCTCGCCATTAGGCCAGACTTGGGGAAGGCCCGGAGCCCTCACAACAGCAGCAGGCCCAGCTCCGCCCAGGAACGGAGGAGACTGTGGGGGGCGGGGGGAGGGCGGAGAGTGGGGTGAGGTGGATGGCTTTGATGTCAGAGTAAGAGCTAGGCCAGGGCCTGAATCTCCCCGAAGTTTGTCTTGCTGGTGTTCTGGCTTGACCGCGAGGTTGTGAGCTTTTTCTTTCTACACCACTGAAGGACTGGGCTTGGCTGTTGTCAGAGAAGCCAATGAAAGGCTTCCAGTCCAGGTCTGAGGTCTGGCCTTGGGCTGGAGCTGGGTCTAGGGCTCTGCGGATGGGCCATGAGGGGATATTTTGCAAATCCGGACCAGAATTCAAGGTCACAGAGTCTCAGTCTAAAATGTCTTCTTGCTACTCAAAGGTACCTTTGCAGCGTGATTTACTTACTTAGATCCTGGGGGCAGAGCGGGCCCCCCCCACCCGCCCAGCACTGCAGTCTTAAAGTGAAAAGAAAAACTCTTTACTAGGACAGTTGTTTAGGACTGACCTTTGCTGGTCTTGAATTAAGTGTCATTCTCATTTGTCAGATGTAGAAAGAAATTGAGGGCAAGAGTCCTATACCTGCTCAATGGAAGACCTAGTAAATGTAGAGCTGATTTTTCCAGATCTTTGCAACCTAATTCTCTCTACTTTGCTACCACCCCTTCTCAGCATCACAAACACAAAACTTGTTTTTTTGTTAAGTCATTTAAGCACACTGAACAAGGGAAGTTGGAGTAGTAATTTTTGCAGCCAGTGCTCACTCTGGGACTTGCTTGAACAATTAAAAGGATGGCAGTAAATACATCCTTTCTAAACTATCAAAAGAAAGCAAGATGGTGGTGGTAGTGTATGTTTGCTGTCCTGTTTCCTTAATTTAGAGGAATTAGTCAAGACAGATGGGGTTCCATTCCTGGTCTTTTCTTAGCTTTCTGAAGGATGAGGTGAAGAAACCACAGCCCTGGTGATATGGTGATTGGATGGAGGAGCCCCTAGCCCTGGGCTGGGCAGAGCCCCTGATTTGTAAGTGGAGTGTGATTCAGAGTGTCTGGGAGATAAATAAGGATTATATTCTGCCTCTCCTTGGAACCTAAATAGAGGTTTGGGGCAGATGTTACGAGAAATGTGTTTATTCATTCATTCATGCATTTGCATATTATTCTGAGTAGGAGTCTGCCCTGACTCTGGGGACTCAGTGGTAAGAGACAGACAGTGTTCCCTGCCCTTGTGAAGCTCACAATCTTGAGGAGACAGGCAGACTGAGCAATTTGAGGCTGTGATAAGTGTTGGGAGAGGAACTGTGTTGAGACCTGAAATCTGAGAAGTGGTGAGCCTGAGGGAGAAGACAGGTTGGGCTGAGGGAGCCTGGTGGAAGCCCTGTGTGGGAAAGGCCTGACGTGGAAGTGCAGACAGTAGGCCTCTGCGGCCACAGCTTGGCAAACAAGGTGGAAGTTGGCCTGGTGAGGAGTTCATATACTATCCTCTTAAGGCTTTTAAGCAGCATCATGACACATTCTGTTTTGTGTTCTAAACCTCTGTAGCAGCCCAGAGGCCAGTGGCTAGGGGTGAGGGGACAGAGTGAAAGGTGATAGGGGAATGCACGATGTTTGGTCCTGGAAGGCTGAAGGTGCCAAATTTGTTCTTTTGGATTGGGTGGCCAATAGGCCTTGCTTTTTTTTCTCTTCTACTTCATCTGACTTTGTTTACTCCTAAGGGACTGTCTCCTGCCCAGGTATAACTTTTCCGCTAGAGGCAGATCCTAAGGGCCCTGCGTTCCTGCTTGTGCTAATTACAGTCCTCTCACCCCCACGTCAATTTAAACATCTTCGGCCCTACCAGATCATGGCCAGGGGAGGAGAGTGGGTTCACTTCTGGGCTTGGCCCTCTTATTAAGCCCCTGGGCTTGACAAGACCTGGAAGTTGAGTTAGTGGGAGTTAGGAGAGGCAGGAATTCCAATTGAATGACAGACATTCATGGAGCACTTGCTATGTACCATGCCTGTGCTCAGCATGTTTTCATATGTACTGTTGCTTTAAAAAGCTGTATTTTGGGTCTTACCCTCCTTCTTTGTCAGATAAGAGGTCAGAGGCTATGTTTTAATTATTTAATTCCACCAAAAATTATTATGCACTTCCTGTGAATCAGGCGCAGTGCCAGGTGTTGGGGTTATAGTGATAAAAGAGACAGACACAATTTTTGCCTTTATAGAGCTCTCAGTCAGTGGTAAGGGGGCCAGGGCAGGGTGAGGGGGGGTATGCTTTCCCCTATAATCTTCCATCAGTGCCCTCATTCATTTCTATATTCACTTGACATTTCTCAGCCTTATTGCACATACTAAGCACTGGAAACCAAGCCCCTTAACCCCAACAGATTACCTGCTTCCCCTGTAGTCAAGTAGGGGACAGAAAACATTAAACAAACAATTGATGGAAGACTGATTTAATTACAGTTAACATCAGTGATGCAATAGAGAGTGCAGAGACCAAAGTAGAGGGACAGAGCCTAGCGACTTTGGAGAAGTTTTCCTGCAGCTCGGATCTGCAGAATGCAGTCTCTGCCAAGCTGGGCTCAGTGGCAGAAAGAAGTCTCAAGGACTGTTAGAGTAACTGAAGATAGCTTGGGGTACCCTAGTCCTTGAGGAAGGGATGGTATGTCAGGCCTGAGTTGGAGCTCTGCTCTGGCCCTAGCTCCTAGTCTTTCTGGCTCAGTGTGTTCATTTGTTTCCGTTTTGAAGGCTGGAGACCTTGAAAGACAGATGTGAAGATACTGAGCACAGACTGCTACTGTTCAGTCCTACCCTTGCAAGCTCCATAGCCTTGAACCAGTGATCCAAACTTCATGTACCTCAGTTTCCCCCTCTGTAATATGAAAACTAATAGTAGTGCTTACCACAGAGGGTTGAGTGGAACTTGAATGGAAAAATGTACATAAAGCCCTTAGAACAGTGTCTGGCAATTGTAAATGCCAAATATGCATTTAGGTGATTATTCAACATACCCGGTCATTTTGGTGCAAGGAAGGAGTTAGGATTTTTTTTTTTAAAGATTTATTTATTTATTTATTTGACAGACAGAGATCGCAAGTAGGCAGAGAAGCAGGCAGAGAGAGAGGAGGAAGCAGGCTCCCTGCTGAGCAGAGAGCCCGATGCGGGGCTCGATCCCAGGACCCTGGGATCATGACCTGAGCCGAAGGCAGAGGCTTTAGCCCACTGAGCCACCCAGGCGCCCCATGAGTTAGAATTTTAAGAGGAGTCCATTTCATGAGGATGTATCAAAACCTCAGAAAGAGAAAAATAATCTAAACTGTGCACAATATTTTCATTGTTAATAAACAGTTAAAACAGTAATACTGTGGCTCTCATCACTGACTTAACTAGTACAGTTTTGCAGAACAAAATTATGGTATTTTCAGCTGTGTGGCTCGGTATCTTAAATAGTTCACCCAAGAGTTGATTTTAACCATGGCCAAAATTGATGCTTGAACTTCCATGGTAGCACATGTGTGATATAATGCTGAATGTATGCTGCATGATGATTCTGTTCTATTAAGCACTTGGTGACTTTGCATAATTCTTAATCTCTTCAAGCCTCCATTGTAAAAAAGGGGATGATGGCATAGTATCTGCTTCAGACAGTTGTGAGCACTAAACGTGATGTGTTTCAAGTAACTTAGCTCAGAACGAAGTGCATAGAGATCTTTGTGGTCCTTGAATTAACCTGTGTAACAGGATTATTTTAAGATTTTAAGTTGGTTGTGATAATACAGGTCTCTGGCTTCCTT